TTTAATGATCTCACCACTTCTCAACATAGGTCTGTCAAAGTGGGTTTTGCAGATGATGAAACATATTCAGTCATGGCAACCTACACCCTAACAAGCGCAACTTGTTGATATAATCTCTGAAAAACCCAATGTGGGAAGTGATTCCAAGTCCCATCAAGAACTGCTTGAGAAATGACATCTTAAAGAAGGATGCTATGAATGACACTGACCTGCAGCTAAATTTGGTCTGGGGACTGCTCTGGAGGCTCTGCTCTCCAAGGGAATTCCCACTCTTGGAGTGTCATTCCCATCCCGAGAACCACCTATGAGTCACTGTTTAGTTACAGCTTGACACCTGCTCAGACCTGCTTTCCCACTCTGCCTTTGCAGCTGGTGTGGCTTCTGATGGATCTATATATCAAGGCCTAATGTATGACAACTAAGAAGGTGATATTCTCCAAAACCACACTTGCAAACCACTAGGGATCCCTGTGACACAACAAATGTGTCTCAAAAGCTCCTGTGTCCCTATGTATTTGAAAGTCATTGGAATCAAAATGGAGTCACTTACACTAACACAAAAATAAAACCAAGAGCTTCTGAATGAAGGCTTCCCCAACTCTATTCTCTGGTAGTGGTTATCACAAAAAGTCTGCCAGAACCACTCCTTCACTTAAAGGCCATCACAGTGATACACAAAAAGTACTTCTAGGCAAGCATGGTGACACACATCTTTAATCCCAGCACAGGAAAGATTGAGGCAGGAGAATAAGTTTGAGGCTAGCCTGAACTGCCCCCAATGAGATTCCCTTGAAAAACTGAGGATATCTGTCTAGGAACTGTCCATTTAACCTCCCATTTATTCAACTGCAATTATTTTAATCACTGCAGCCAAGATTACTATTTGACATTATTTTGTGGGAGTCTCCTCACCTTACCTTTAAAAGCTTCTGCCTATCTCAACCTCTCTGCCATGCTCTAAGGGGCACATGTTTGACCACCTCAGTGCTCTACTCTTCACAAATAAACATATTTAATCTTCAGCAGCTGTACCTCTGGCTGTTACTTGGGTTGAGATGTTGAGCTAAACCAGGAAGATTCAAACTACAGAGCTTAATCTTTTGTTGCTGGTAATCCAGGGATAGGGAGACTGTGAATTGTTCTCCATGTTCTGAGCTGGAATGGTGGCAGAGCTTGTCATCATTCCATGTGGAGAAGAAATGATGTAGGTGGCTGACCAGTGCTCACATTTTAGAGTCAAATATTCTTGGATGTGCCTCATACTTGCTGTGAGATGTGGGTCAGGTGATTGTCCACTCTTAGGCATAACTTCTCAACCATAAAATGAGCAGAGTAGTGTTCAGGAGGCTGTGAAATGTGTAGTCTACTACAGCTTAGTATCCACAGCCATTATAATTACTTTATAATTGTCTTTCCATAGAAGTAGCCTGCCCTACACAGTTCAAGGAAACTATCCCTCATATAAGGTATCAAATAGCAATAATTTAGTGTGAGTTATTAAGCACTTTTAATTCACGCCTGTTAACTGTGTCTCACTCTCCCAGTTGTCCTGGAATGCTAGGAGATGCTCATCTAAGAAATCCCATGATAGATGAGGTAGTGCATGCCTCTTAGCTCAGAACTTGGAAGGTAGAGGCAGAAAGCTCAGGAACTCTGGTTCACCCTCAGCTAAATAGTGAGTTTGAAGCCAGCCTGGCCCACCTGAGAAAGAAAGAAAAGAAGGAAAAAGGGAGAAAGGAAGGGAGGGGAAGGAGAGAGGGAGAAGAGAAGAGAAGGAAGGAAGGAAGGGAGGGAGGGAGGGATGAAAGGGAAGGAGAGAGGGAAAAGAAGGAAGGAAGGAGGAAAGGAAGGAAAGAAGAAAAAGAGAGGCAAGGAGAGACAGAGAACGAGAGTCCAAGAGGCGTAAACAGCAGTATCTGGCACCACACGGGAGGATCGGCAGACACACTCAGAGAGCTTTAGTGTCACACAGACTCTGACTTTAACTAAGTAACTGGACTGCACTTCCAAAAGCTCAAGGTCATGAATGAGGGAGGAGTCATGTAACAAAGATATTCTAAGGGATCTCAGCCTCCTGTCAGCCAGAGGGGGACTTGCCTCCCAGGATGTGATTTCATGCAGGTCTGACAGTTTCTATCCAACTTCCAGGACAGACAAGACAATGATGGATCAGTGATGGGCAGGGCCACACCTTGACCAGCATTGCTTAGCTATACATACCTTTTGTCTTCCATTTAAAGCTAACTGTCCTGCCAAAACTCCGAGGATAGACTTGGCAGCCACTGGTCTGTCTGTCTCTCTTCACTGTGAGACCGAAGAGACCTCTTTTTTCTTTTTTCAGCTTTACTTGCCTCTTTAAGGCCCAATGAGGATGGTGATGAGCTTGGCTTGTCAAGAATGCTCTGCCCTAACAACTCCAGTAACCGATTAAAGGTGACCTGAGACAAGACTACTAAGCAAATGCATAATTTAGATTCGATCCAGAAAAAAAAAATACTCAGAAGGGCATTATTAAAATGGCTGGCAAAACCTGAAGTAATTTTATAGATTAGGTAACAATTCTGTAACTGGTAAACCTGGTCTTGGTAACACTCATCTGGTTGTCAAGAAAACCTACTTGTTCTGGGGAAACACACCCTGATGTTTAAGGGTAAAGAATCACACTGTCTGGAGACCCCTCTTGAATGAAAAACTTGAATACATACCAACTAGTGAGAAAGAAAAGCTGGGCTCTTCTCAATTTTGAGATTTGTATGTACATTCGAGATTATTTCAAAGTAAGAAGTTAATCGTAAGTAAATAAATTGAATCTAAGAAACCACAAAGCCCTTAAAGCAAGAAACTGTTCATATGGCCTCTGCTTCTTTTGATTCTTGGTCCAGTCCCTTATGGTCAGGCTGGAAAGATCAGCTTGATACCAACATAACTGCTCTATGTCTTTAGACAGAGAGGCCCTGCCCTGCCTGATCGCACAGAAAGTAGTGGGTGTAAGGGGTGATGCAAATGCTCTGGGGTGAGAAATGAAAACCAGACTGTGAAGGGAGGCCGTGGGAGAGGAAGTGTGCATGACTTTGAGCATGTGAGGGGCAAAGGCCCTATCAAGGAATATGGCCTTTCTGTCAAACAAGAGCCTTTAAACAGGCTGGAGAGATAGTTCAGTTGGTTGGATGCTTGCCTAGCACATATGAGGTTTGGCCTCCAAAAGTGCCTGAATGGGGAATGGTGGTTCTCAGGAGGTGGAAGCAGGAGGATCAGAAGTTCAAGGTTATTCTTGTCTACACAGGAAGTTTGAAGTCAGCCCGAGCTAGAGACCCTGTTTCAGAAAAAGAGAAAGACAGTTCTAAGAATTCTGAAAGCATGAGACTTGGGTTTTCCCTTCATATGGTGATTTTCTTCAAGCCCAAGCTCAGCCCTATGTCTAGGCTGTCATGTAGGGTCAAAACCGAGAGCCTGTTTCACCAACTGATACAAAGGTGTCTGCAAAAATATAGCTCTCATCTCAAAGGGAATATGAGAACCAAATATGTGTGGCATGTCCTAGAAGTGGCATGTCCTAGAAGCACAGATCTGGACTACCCCAAATACCGTGTCCCAATGCGGTAACAAGTTTTAGAATTTAAAATTTTTTATTTATTTATGCATTTATTGTATGGGTTTTTTGTCTTCGTGGGTGTCAGGTGCACCATGTGCATGTCTGGTGTCTGTGGAGGCCAGAAGAAGGTGTCAGATCCCTTGGAACTGGAGTAACAGACCATGATGAGTGGCCATGTGGATGCTGGGAATTGAACTCAGGACCTCTGTAAGAGTGGTCAGTGCTCTTAACTGCCGAGTCATCTCTCCACCCTCATAGTGTGTTTTTATAGGAACAAAACAAAAGAAACAGAGAATACAGGGTAGGGGGTTCCAGCAAATTGGGAAAAATTCATGTTATTGGCCTCAGCTGCTATTTGACGACATTCTTGGATTCTGGATTACTGGAAGTCAGGGATCTGCTTGTGTATTCCAAAAGGGTTTCACTTGATTATCACAAGGATGTCACATCAAGCAGAGAAGCTGGCAATGAATGACCTTTAAAGGGCACTAAAAATGGCTGCAAGATAATTTGACTCTACAGTCACAGTAGTTCTATTAGTCCATCAGCGTTACAGAATCTCTAAGGTGGGTGTGGCTTTTTTTTTCTGGACATGTCAATTCACACAGGTGAATTTTGTTAGAATTACACAATCATAAATGGTGCTCCCTCCTCCTCCCAAGCCCAAGGCTGCTGGTGAAATGTGATGATGAAATAATCTTTACACATTACAGGATTATGGTATGCTGTTCACTCATTCCTGTACACAGCAGCGTCAACCACTGGAAACACCTGTTTGGATCATGTGGCCCATCCCTACCCATCATGGGGACTTTACTTGTTTCTTTCTGCTGCCTCTGAGGGACTCAACCTGTGACACTTTTGTTCTTCGTGGGATCTTCATCTTGCCTCCTCAGATTCCAAGGTATCTTTTGCCTCATTTCATTCAAACTAAACCTGACCTTTTAAACCTATGGAGTTAGCTAGAGTCACTGACTGCATAGATGTATCTAGCAGCAAATATTTACCAAATCTTTATTTCCCCAGCAGATGGCTCCTCTGGGTGGACACTTCCAAGTTAATGAACTGTCAGAAAAAGGCCTATGGGAAGCTACCATAGGCGATATGTCCAGAGGTCAGAACTGACCCCCAGCTCCACCCCTGCCCTCTGAGGTTATGACCGGCTTTAAGGAGGCTGGTGCCTAAATTAAGCATGCCACTTTCCTTACAAGGGCAAAGAAGACAGAGATCTCCCTGAAGTCCAACCCATTGTCTTCATTTCCTTGGGGATTGAAACCCATGATCTTGAGTTCCTCAGAGAAGTGAAAGCAGCCTAGAGGGATCCAGTAATTCCTGTTATCAGCAGGCCTTATAAGTCGGTGAGCCAGGAGCTGTGTCTTCACTGAGACAGAACTCACAGGAGTGCAAAATGTCCCTGCGTCCGGTTTCCTTGAGCCTGGCCTCCCTCCTGCTCTTTTCCCTTGTCCTCCGTGGTGCCCTGACCCTGAGGCTCTGCTCCTTCAATGTGAGGTCCTTTGGAGAGAGCAAGAAGGAAAACCACAACGCCATGGATGTCATTGTGAAGGTGAGTTGTGCTCCTATCCTGGACACCTCTTACAGCTTCTCCCCAGCATCAGACTTAAGGGACTTGAAATTTGCCCCCAGGGTGTGTGTGTGGTAAGGACAGCAGTAACCACCATTGCAATGGCCCCCTCAGCTCTGCATGCTTTCTGGCACATCTTCAGACCGGGTTGTACTGTGCCTTCCACAGTACTGAGCAGGTAAACATGACACTTTTGCCCGAGTCTGGCTAGCAGTCAGTTCCAGGTATGGGTTGTTGTTCTGATGGCTTTAATTAAACATACTGAATGCTTGTGTCAGGCACTATAAATACACATCTCATTTGTCAACCTCACAAGCAAGGACTATTGTTCCTCTTATGGAGGAGATGCACTCAGAAGGGCGATGTGACGCTGGGTGGCTCCAGGGAGGGGTGTTGAGGGAACTGGTGCAGCCTTGTCTGGTTCATCTTTATGATCATTGGCAGAGTATACTTTCTCTCCTTCTCTTCTTCCCTCCCTCCCCACCTCTTTCCTTTCATCCCTTCATCCCTCTCCCCCATTTATCTTCTACCAACTCTCAATTCTGTACTTTCTCTGCTTGTGGATGTCACTGTTCTTGGGTAATATGACCAATGTCTGGGGAAACTGCTTATGTTTCTCTGGGGTCAGTTGACTCTCTGTCCCATGGGCTGATTTATTTTTGATGCTTTGACTCTAGTAGGATGGCTATTACTTAAACAAACAAAAAAACAGTGGGATTAAGGTTGTACTTCAGTTGGTTTGTGAAGTTTAGAGTTCCATCTTCAGCATTGCATGAACCAGGCATTGTGTTGCCCACCTGTAATTTCAGCACAAGGGAGGCAGAGGTAAGAGGATCAAAAGTTCAAGGTCATCCTCGGCTATATAGCAAATTAAAGGTCAGCCTGGTTTACATGAGACCCTACTTTAACACACACACACACACACACACACACACACACACACACACACACACACACACACCACACCACACCACACCACACACACAAACAAAAGAGGACACACACACACACACACACACACACACACACACACACACACACCACACCACACCACACCACACACACCAACAAAAGAGGCCCTTGTGTGTGGTGAAAATACCAGCAGCCCTAGACACAGACCCCATCTATCACCTGAGGAGCTCAAGATCTCTTATCTTCCCAGTGCTTCACACAGAGTGGGCTCTTCTGCTGAGTGGCTGGTAAGGCTAGTGAGTGAAGCCCAGCAGAACCAAGAAGAGGCTGGTGTTTCACTACTGTTGGGCAGAGAGGATACAAACAGAAGACCTGCTCTGCTCTTGCCAAGATAGTCCTGGGCCCTAGGTGACTCTGTCCTCTAGATGATAACCAAGAAACTCTGGATATTGTGGGTTTACCAGGACAGCTGTGCCAAGCCGGTGTGAATCCTGACACCAGGGCTTAATGGAGAAATCTGACATAAAAGAAAGCTATTTCCCAACTTCTTGACATGTGGCCCAGTGGAGCCTGGGGACCTAAGTTCCTATCTATGTTCCTAACTTAATCATCCCTGGAAATGTTGTCCTGGAGGCTGTGTTTTTGTTCTCTGGTGATTCCATTCCTCCACTCAGTATTTCCCCTGAGTGTGAGTTCCTACCCAGTGTGCCTATAGCCTTTGTCAAGACTTTATCCTATCCTCATAAAGCCGTTCTGTAAACAGAAGCCAGTCCCCTAGAAACCATCAGAGCTACCTAACAGAGCAGTAGTGATTGACCACCCCAAATACCTGCTGCTCAATCAGAATAGTTAGTAGGGATTGTATGAATCAAAGAGAAAGATACATTTGCTGCTGGAAGGATGCAAACAACCCAAGTAGGAAAACACTCAGTTTAGTGATGTAAATGTACCATGAAAAGGGCATTATGTAACACTAGACGTTGTGTTTTAGAAGACTATTACCATCTTTTCTCGTAAGGCCTATGCTGGTCAAGCTCCCTATGTAATCAGTGGTGACCTTGAACTCCTAATTCCCCTTGCCTCTATTTCCTCAGTGCTGGGACTAAAAGCATGTGCTTTCATACATGATTTATGCAGTGCTGGGGACTGAGCATAGGGCTTTGTGCATGCTAGGCAAGAATTCTACCAACTGAGTCAAGTCCCATCTGCGGGTGTGGTTCCTTCACAGCCCTCATAGCCCTTTGTATAGTTGGTTACTTCCAAGGCTCAGTGAGTGTTATTTAGTAAGCTGAACACCAAGGGCATGTGAGCAATGTGCCATCCTACATGACAGACCCCCTTCCTGGCCACCATACTCAATAGGCAAGGAAATTAGCCTGCCAAAGGCCAAGGTCCCTCTCTTGTATGATCCATTGGCATGGAGCAAGAGTAAGCCAGGTTTAGGGTCCCTTCCCTGAGAGAGCAGCCGGATTTCCTGTTGACATCCCTATTCCTTGCTTACCAAGCGCTTCTGAGCCTTGAATCTCTAGTTGATACTGGTTTCCAGTTTCCTTACTCTCTCTGGAATGTTTTTCTCAGACAAGAATCTGCAAGATCCTGTTGTCCAAATTTTCAAAAGGGCAGAGGATGAGGAAAAAGCCATAATTCTTCTGGTTCCTAATCCTCAGGAAGAGACTCCCAGGTGGCTCTTTCAGAACCAAACTCTGGACCCTTTAAGCTTTCATCAGTGCCAAATTTTGCCTGTTCACTGAAGGGAGCCGCAGTCTAAGGGTAGTTATGCTATGCACTATACTGCCAAAACCTCTGAAATCAAGAGTCTGTGGAGGGCTGTGAAGACGGATGTTTCTGTCCTACTTGGTCCTGCAGCTATTTAGTCCCAAATAAACACACAGAGGCTTATATGAATTATAAACTGTTTGGCCGATGGCTCAGGCTTCTTATTGGCTAGCTCCCTCTTAATTATTAACCCATTTCTATTCATCTGTGCATCTCCACATAGTCTTAGCTTACCTGTGATGCCCAGGCTTCTTTCTTCCATCAGCTACATGGCATCTCTGTTAACTCACTCTCTTCATTCTTCTTCCTAGCCTTCTCCTAGTCTGGTCGCCTCACCTATACTTCCTGCCTGGCTACATCCTGCCTGTCCATCGGCCAAAACAGCCGATTTATTCATCAACAGCTTTATTCATCAACCAATAAGAGAAACATATATTCACAGAATACGGGAGGGCATCCCCCATCAGGGCTGAACATGGATAGTATGGATGAAACCAAGATAATGGGTTGTCATTGGTACTGCGAAGGAGAGGGAAAGGGCAGTCTGGAGGGTCTAGAAAGATCTTGGGTAGAGACAGACTCAAAAAACACTTCCTAATGTCTTTTAAACAAGCAACAGCATAGCATGATGGAGAAGACCTAGTGTTCAATCCACTTCTCTATCACTTATGTGCTTCAGCACACTGGGTGGCTTACTCTCTGAGCTCCAATTGTCCCATCTGTGGCATGAACATAATTAACAAGGTCAGTTGTGAGGTTGAACTTGGCTTCCACCCGTTATGGACCTAGCCCATAGCACTGAAGAAAGCAATGATTATCATGTACTGTAAGGCCTGAAAAGGGTGACAAGCTGCCCCCATCCATCATTCCATCCCCAGTGCCTTGAAGTACCTAGCACAGGCTCTCTGTTGAGCGATGTCTTGATGAATGAACAAACTCTGTTCAGGAGGATGTAAACTAAAGAACACAGGAGACTCACCCAGGCCTGGCTCAGTGTCAAATGGTTGGGAAGGCAAACACAATATGCTCAGGGAACTTCCTTCATGCTCTACCCATGCTCGTGAAAGGCAGATGACAAAATGTTGGCAATTTTGTGCCTAATGTGGTCTGACTAGTGTAGAAAAGTAGGAGAGACATCCTAGCTTATGTAGTCAGGATCGTCCCGGCTCTTCCCAACTAGCTATGAAAACCTGTAGAGTTACCTCAGCACCCAAAGCATTGGCTTTCTCAGTGATAAAGAAGGACGAGGCTAGGGAGATGCTTAAAGTAAGATGTTGGCTGACCAGGCATGAGGAGCTGACTCTGATCTCCCAGAACACATGCAAAAAGGCCAGGTGTAATGGTACAGGCTTGTCATCCCTGTGCCAAGGAGGCAGAGACAGTGGGATTGCTGGGGCTTATTGTGCAGCCAGCCTAGCCTAATCTTCAAGCCAGGTCTCAATGAGAGACATTGTCTCAAAAAACAAGATGGAAGGCTCCTGAGGTTGATCTCTAGTCTCCATATGTCCTCACATACATAAGTATATTCACACCCACAAATACAGGTGCCCACCCCCTACACACACACACACACACACACACACACACACACACACAAATGCAAGCACGCACCTGTGTGCTGCCAAAGTGGTAATATTAAGTACAAATGAGAAAGACTTGGCCGGTAGTAGGTACTCAACCACTGGGCCTTAGAAATAGTAATAATCTACTATTGACCACGTACATAGCTGGCACTGCGCTAAACTCTCACTCTATCTTACTACAATTGTAAAGGATCAAAATGGGAAAATTGAATCAAAATAGTGTGTACATTTGTTTGTGTTTGTGTTTTGAGACAGTGTCTCACTATGTAGTCCAGACTGGCCTCAAACTCACATAGATCTGCCTGCCTCTGCCTCTTCGTGCTGGGATTAAAGGTGTGTGTCTTACACCCACTGCATGGGTGCATTTTAAAGTTTATTCTAGAAAGGTCTGCTAGTTTCCAGTGACTAGCCAGCAAGTCACAGCACAAGACTCCTGATGAGTCTTGTGTGCCCAATGCTGTGGGTTTCACCTAGAATCCAGGCTTTCTGACCAGTCAGCTCTCAGTCCCCAGTTCCTTAAAAGCTGGTCCTGGGGAACCTGGACTCCACCCTGTTGCACATGTAACTGGGGATGCTCTGTAAACAGGTCCAATGGCACTCCGTGACTTTGATGCTGTGTGTGAGAACAAACTAACCTGGGGATGCTTCATTCTCCATGGACACATCCTGTGGCACTGAGTCACCAGCATCCCATTACTCAGAGCCACGTGGTCATTAAGGGGTGTGAGCTCTTTCTGCTACCTGATCACAGCTCACCCTGACAAGTCTCTTGCATTTTTTTCTCCCACTGAATTATTTCTAAACTTCTCAGGGACCAAAGGCTCTCTTTTCCCTGGAGCCTTCCCTGATCTTCTGACAGAAGCAATCAATTATCCCCGAACATGCCCAGCATGTCCATGTCTTGTGACTTTTATTTTGCACAAATTCTACATTCCCTCCATTACACCTACTTGCTTTCATTAAGACATCAAGTCTCTGAGTGACTGTATTTTAACTACCGAGCGTAGTGAAACCTACAGAACTGATCTGGAACCCTGGCTTCCCCCACCTGTATTGACTTTGTGACAAGGATAATTGCTAAACTACTTATGGGTAAATGGGTAAATGGGGAGTTTAGTTAGCATCTGGATTTAATGAGCTAACCATCATATCCCTCTTTTAGTACTGTGAAGTAGGTTCACAATAAATGCTAGCTCTTATGGTTATCATCAGAAGGGTAGCTATCCCTTCTGATATCTGTAATACCCAGCCTAGTGCCTTTACTCACTAAAGGCTTAGCAGGTATTTATGTAATCGCCACTATAATCACTCAGTCCAAGCTGTAGGATGTGTGGTAGGTAGCATCATGGTTAGGGCTCTGGTTGGTTGCTTACATTTAGATGCCAGTGTGGCTGTTTCTACCTCCGTGGTTGGGTACTTGATCTTGTCTGATCTTCAGTTTCCTTATCCCTAAAATGGACATAACAACTGGGTGTGGTAGTGCACGCCTTTATTATAGCACTTTGGTTTATTTTATTTTATTTTTGGTTTTTTCGAGACAGGGTTCCTCTGTGGCTTTGGAGGCTGTCCTGGAACTAGCTCTTGTAGACCAGGCTGGTCTTGAACTCACAGAGATCCACCTGCC